GCTTTCGGTAAATCATCGGACATTTATTGCAGTTAATTAGTCGGCCGACTGGGTGCGCCGAGTCCGTGGGCCTATTTTGCATGCGAGACTTGTGTACGCGAGCGCACGAGTGAGGTCTCGCGGAACGAAACGAAGGAGATGGAAAAACGACCATCTATTTCTCTTTCCCGCTTTAGCGAAGCCAGTCGGTTATAAGGCGCGAGTGGCGCGTACGTACATTTCTTATTATACGCCGCTCGCCGTCGCGCACTTGCACATTAGAAATGCAATGGCGCCGTGCGAAAGCTTAACAGGCTACTTCAGCTTCGTACGAGTTGTGTCTCGAGCACGTGACGACCAAGTACGCTGAGTAATAGATAATGATGTGTTTGACGAGGTGGAATGTTTTTCCTATTATTCAATGTCGGTTATGATGATTTGAGGGCTGCTTTGGCTACGGCAAGTCCTAGCCGTACATTGTTAAGTTCGACCTTGGACAATTTAAATTTTGATAACTGAGCAGAGTAGGGGATGAAGGTAAATGAAATATAATATAATAATACTGACTTATACTTACTCTTTATTATTGTGGAATGAATTTTTATGGTAGCATACGTGTGCGTGTGTGTTCGTGTATGTGAGAAAGGACTAGGCATTGATGTATGTAATTCATGCGGTTATTTCATTGTTTTATTAACTAACTATCGGACCATTTAGAAAATTGTAGAATTTCAGAACTTATAGAGAAAATATGTATCGCCAATTGTTAATTGTTGAGAGGAAAAAAAAAGAACAAAATAGAAAAGGCAAACATTAACTAAGTAAATGCTGAATGTTAATGATATTAGCCAATAATTCTAAGCATTTGTCTTATCGAATCTTAAACCTTCCAAATATACTTCTCGACTCTCCTAAGTAATAATGTAGATCATTTTACATGAATTGTATAAAGGTAAAAGCCCGTTTTGTCGCATGTGTGCAACATCCAACGTCCAGAGCTGACTAAGCACTCGTAAAGATTTACGTTATATGCATCCCGTGTACAATTTGGTTTTCCTCACCTTTTTCCCGGAAATACATTTTAATATTATGCAATAGTATCGGAAAAAAGGGGCATGAGTGACATTGTTTTCTCAATGTGACTTTGTTTTGCTTGCTCAGCACCTTTTGTAATTCCATCAAGAAAGAGCAAGTATCCTAAAAATATATCTTTTCTAGTCCTTAAGTGTGTTTCTATTACGTGGCTTTGCTTAAAATCTCAACTTTTCGTCAACCGTTTTCGCATTGCAAATACAACTTATACGAATATCTAATTAATCATTCGTATAAACATTAAATTTTCTTAAAATGCTATTACGTAGCATTTAATTTAATATTGCTTTACTTATAATTAAAATTAACGTATTATTATAGCAGAATTAAAGTGCTTCAATAATAAGATAGAATTTAGGAATCGATGAATTTTCTGCAAGATCGAGGGTAGGAATTTGGGTGATATTTGTGAGATAAATGAATGAAAATACGTATAAAGATCAAATGACAAAATGTAAATTTCATATATTTAAAGAAAATTTCTGCACGGGAGGTAGTAGCATTACAAATATCTTTATTGATAATGTTTTACTTTCACTCTCCTTTATCAATCAGGCTTACGTAATTTAATAAATTTTTTTACAACTTTTGTTAATATCAAAAAGGCTCATATTAATTTTGATCGTTATTACAGTTTGATGTACCGAGGTTTCGCATAATTCAGCATCGACATTAAAATTGCACCTTTTAGAGTCATTCGCTACATATATAAGTTATAATATCTCTTTTACGAAGCCGTTCATTTGAAAATCAAGTCCCATAATTTGCTACATTATAGCAATGATTATTTATAGGACAGTTTGCACCTCCATAATATTAAAGTGTAAAAAAGAAAGACGAAGCCTATCTACTCAGCAATGGTATTTCTATAATAACAAGTTAAATTACGCTTATAAATAAGATGCGAGTCGAAGCCGAGAGGATAATTGTCCTGCCGAAACAAATCGACGCTTGCGGTAGCGTGAATCCTCTTCTCACACTTCCGTTCATTTGCTTTATATGGATACCAATTGGTCCCCTCGAGGGACTCGCTACTCCCCCATCCCCCTCGGCCGATGCCGGGCCATCTATATCGTAGGCTCGTCGTTCATTGTAAAAGCGAGAAAAAGCTCGTTGCTGAAATACGATTGTCATTAAGTTAGACAAGATACTCATTACACGAGTCCTTCCTCACAAGGATTTCCGAAGGGCGCCCACATGTCCACATTCTTAAGTTGTTTGGGGGAGGGAGGAGCGCATAACCTGTCGCAGGATTATCTCGCAACTACTTGAAGCAGCTACCGTATTAGCAATTCTACGAGCAAGGGGCGATGGTGCGACGGGGAGAGAGGGAGCGGGAGGGATAGAGCGACAAAGAGCAAAATATTTAGCAAGTGCGCGCTCCGATGGGCTTGGCAAGTGTGTGAAAAGTATTTATAGTACAAAGATAATACTTTACGTGTCAGAGAAAAGGCTAATTCTTAATTGAGCAAAGCGAGAGCTAGAGAACATATTCCAATAGTAAGCGAGCTTAAATAAAAAATTTCATTCGTTTTTCGACTGATCGTGAAAAAGTAAAATCACATAAGTGGATTTTTCAATATAAACTAATGAATATAAAATTGGGACTTTCTATTAATGGCTGATTAATGCATTCGAGCATAATAGTAAACATTCAAGCCAATACTGATGTAATAAATACATGTGAAGGAATTAATATATAAATTGATGCATTATATTACATTATTCTGTAATAAATCCTTACGAGTATTATTATCCCAAGAAGCAGTTTTACTCTCTTAGTTTATAATAAACAAATTTGCAAATTCATAAAATATAATTTCATACTTTGTAAATGATGATGCTTGTTCGAAACATGAAAATATTTAATTTTCATAACTAGCTTGTGTCTTTGGAATAAATTGTCTTATAGCCATCGATTTGAATTGAATTCTATTCTATTTTACACTTAAAACTCTAAAATATAATAAATGAAAATATTACGAAATTGGATACAGCATTCATTCACATTATGTACCAACTCATCCGCCGTAATCCCAATTTTTTTAGAAAATTATGTAATGAACTTGACTAAATTATTCACATTGTTTACAGTTCTGAAAACTAAGAATAAATAATAATAATTATTTATTATTGATTATATATATATATATATATATATATATAATAACATTAAAATAATAATCATTTGATTTTAAAAGATAAGCATTCAAATTAAGAAGTCTGAGCCAAACCGATATCTCAAATTAACACAATGACTTTCCGCATTCCAAGGTCGAAATACTATACAAAGTTTTCTTAAAAGTTCCGAGTAGTAATTCTGATAGTCAAATTCTTTGGGTTCACTTATTCACAAGGAGTTAAAATATAAATAAAACTGTAATAGTATAATGAAAACAGTTGTCTGTGATTTTTTTTTTTTTTTAAACTTGCTATACATTCCTTGCACATAATTGTAATTATTTTCCATGTTCTTCAGAAAATAAGAAATGAAAGCACACTCAAAAGTACTTTAAGATTCAATTAATTTCAATAGTTATACTTTCTAATTAGAGCATAGTTAAATGCTGTATTTATAGTACGACATTCGTTTAAAATAATCGGCACATTATCGATATTAGATGATAATTTTGTGAAAGCGCCAAAGCTAACTCTAAGGTCGATATATTTTTGCGTAACTGAAATTATAATACAAATATTTCATTATTTGCGCGCGTAAAAAATTCTTAATATTTATTAAATGCCTGTGTAATTAACTTTTTTAGTTCAGTCTATGGTTGAAGAATAATAAAAATACAAACTATGTTTGAATAAATGACATCGATTTACTCGCATCTACTACCTCTATAAAAATATATATTTAGCAATTGTTATACTTTGTTATTATATTTTAGATTAAAAAATATTATGATTCTACTATGATTATATATGAAAATCCTTCAGTGTAAAATATAATTTTTAATTTTTTAACACATTTCAATGTAGAAGCCAATAGGCAAAACCATAAAAATATAAATCATTAGAAAATAGGAAAGTAAATATTGGACTGAAAGTGTTCAAACTGGATTATTTAATATTAAATATTTAATAAAACATATAAAATAGTGCGAAAACATTTGCAAAAAGTATTCATTAAAATTTAAGTAAAGATTACACATAAAAAATATTTATTTTTTAATTAAAGTTATTTGTTTAAAAAAAAAAAAAAAACTCTTTTTTCCGGAATTCTTTTATAAAATTTTATTTAATGGTCTACGTTTTTTTTTGAGTCGAAAAAATAAATTTAGATTCAATTTTCATCAACTTAAAATTTCAATTAATTTTGTTTCAAGTATCTTTTAACTTTTGTTATCTAAACTGCTGTTAATTCAAGAATTATATCATATATTTAAAAAAATAATATGTTGAATTATAAATATGTCTGTTCAGAGTTCAATTATGTAAACAATACAATCGAAAGTTTTGTTTTAGTATGGCATATTAAGTAAATGAATACTCAATGAAATATTAGTGTAATCTTTATTTTCAACTCGCTTACTGCGATATATAATTTAATCATTAAATGTTATTCATTATAACTTTAATTAATATATATATATATATATATATATATATATATATATATATATATATATATATATATATATATTATCTCTCTTTTCTTTCTTTTGTTTTCATACTGAAGATTTGTTTATTATTGAGGCACAATTTTTTGCACGCAAATTCTCGTACATGCAAAATTTTAGTCAGCATTGTGAAAAGAATAGCATTCACGACTCGTAAAAGCTGATTTTATGGTGGATAGCGGGACAAATGTCTCGTGCAGCTTTTTCACATGCAGAAAACGATATTGGAAGTGGAGCCTACAATTATGCGACTGTGCGTGTATGCATATGTACTTTTCTAATTTGTTTACTCACCTTTTTACACACTCTTGCGGCGGCACTTGTCCTCCCGGAAGCATAATTTTCATATATTTGATGCCGACGCTGGTAAAATCCTAAAGTAGAAACAGATTTCTTGGTATTAGGTTAGGCTACTTTAAGTATATTATACTGTTAGGAAGCTAATTAAAAAATCATAATGACGGTATTACTATAGTATATACATACATATATATATATATATATATATATATATATATATATGTATATATACTAGCCTTAGTATACAATTTGATATAACTTAGTAGTGGAATTGTATTATATTTTTATTTTTAAAAGTTTGTCAAATATATTAACGTATGATTAATTCATTAATATTATTATACTTAGGGATGCAGTTATTACATTAATCTAATGGACAATATTCAACACATTTTTTTTTTAGAGCGATAGGGAAATAAAGAAAAAAAATAGGCTCATAAATATTTAATAATTTTGAGGAGTCCTTCTATTAATTTACTAGACTAGATGAAAATAAAATATTATAAACAAATTGTTCAACGTTAGCGAATGTTTTATTGTTTTAAAATTCATTATTAATATGAATTTCAAAAAATAATTTTCATAGAAAAATTTGGAAAGATTATATTACTGAATAATCGATTTTACCCTTTGCAGAAATTCTGAATAAATTGAACAATTCGATGGCACAATTCATTTATAACAAATGAAACAAATTTATCAGTACGGGAGTGGTGGAATTTTAAATATTTTTCACGCTATTCTTGAAGGATAAATTTTATAGTGAATTATCATAATTAATGGGCGTTCTTTAAACGACTTTAATCTTAAAATGCAAAGTGATTTAATGGAATGAATTAAAATTAAAATTAAAATGAATTGTAATTTAATGGAATGAATTAAAAATAGTTAAATATTAAAATATAATGAAAAACTTAATCACGACTAACGGGACTGATCAGTGTTTCGATTTATTAATAAATGAATTCTGCTTAATAAATGAAATATATTAATTGCGTAACCTTTACAAAAATACTTGAAAATTGTCAAGAAAAAAATTGCATAAATAGATATATATGGTTCGTTATTGATAGGATATATCAAATCAAATTTAATGAAATCGTAAGAACATTTTACTTACTTAAACTAATCATTGCATCTTTTCATCTAAGAACTGCTAATAAAAAGAATTAATTATCAATTCAATTAATTATTGAATAATTTTTCTATTAAAAGAATAAGAAACAAATTGTAATTTGCCCCTTGTAAAGTCACTAAAATTACGATTTGTTTCTAACACTATCAGAAAAATTAGTAGGATATAAAATTATAATTATTATACATAAATTTTATTTTATAAATAATTCAATAGCCTAGGCAATTAGTAAAAGCGCCATTAATAGTCTGCAAATTAATTGGGTTGATTAATTTATAAAATTTATGAAGTAATAAAGTCACTTATTGGCTATCTTGGGATTTGCTAACCAAGCCTGCGGGTGTTGTAAAGTCGGAGCTCTGCGGTTGATTATGCGATTATGTTTATTGTGTGTTGGAGCGAAAATTCTTGTTGGAGGAAAAAAAGGGTGCATGAGAAAGAGGAAGAAATCGAAAAAGAAAGACTGGAAAAGAATACGATTTCTTCTTGAATAAACTTGAACTTTTTTAGACTTTCGGAGAGTAGTTGTTTGATATATCCTCGGTCTAAGAACTTTTTTAATTTAAGCTAATTTAGATTTTAGTTTTCCGTCTGTTCATTTTGGATAAGAAACTATGGTTTAAATCTGTTTGTTCGATATAAGTGAATGAAGGGGAGGGGCGAGCTGCAGTAGAAAAACCACATATGATACAAATTGCCATTTTCTATTATAATTTATCTAGAAAAATATTTAAAAAACTAATTGGAGTATATTTATTATATTTATCCTTAGTTTTTTAAATCTCCTATAAAATATAAATGGACTATATAGCGATAGTAATAGAATATTGTCATTAGTTATTAATTTCGTCCATCTACATTACATTATTTAAAAGAATAAAATTTTGTTGCAAAGTTAGTAACTTTAATAAGTCAGTTCTTCCCAAGTTATAGATATCATATATCTTCTTATGTAGTTTATGAGCGATGACGTTATATAGATTATATAGCTTTAAGATACTGTAGCTTTGCATAAGAAATGTATATTAAATAAGTTCATTATTATGCAAAATTTTCATTTTAAATTGTGATAAACCCAAAATTAAACTATTATAGAAGACAAATTTTGTTACATAATATAGTTCACAGTAGATAAATTTATAAAAGAGATCGGTTTGTTTTTCAAAAAAAAAAAAAAAAAAAAAATGTATACTATCAATCAAACAAGTTTGTATATATTTTCAAGAAAGGAGTTCAATGGTAGAAAATTCTAATTAATTTTATAGGAAAAAATGGCAAAAAAATATTGGAAAGTTAGATAATAAATTTTATATTAAAATTAAGAAACGTAAATTGGATAAATTTGTAAAAGTTATATTTATGTGTTTAGTATTTTTAACCATAAAGTTGTTAAACAAAAATTAATGTATATTTAAATTGATACTTACTGATGGATTATAATATTTTGTTGTATTCGTTAAGTCGATTACATATTTAAGTTTGGGTTGTGATTTCATTAAAATTGATGTCGTAAACCTAAGAAATAAATAAAATTTATTATTATTATTATTTTTCTCTTGATAAAAAGATTATAAATCCAAAACTACTTTATAAAATAGTAAGAATTTTTAATATGATTTGAATTAATTAATTGTATTTATCTTATTTTGTCGAATGTTAATAATACATTTTAAATATAATATAATATCAAAATATTAAACTATGAGTTCATTTTATATACAACATGATATAATAAAAAATATTTTTTTCAAGCAAGATAAGCAAATGTAATACCTGACTAATTTTTTAGCCTTTTTGCTTTTCATACCTTATGTTTCTCTAAATTAAGCAACACTAATTCGCATTCATGTTCTAAAACATTAAATGTTTTTATGTAACATAATTACCAATAATTTCCTCCTTCAGGCAAATAGAAATTTATAAAAGGCTTTTTCTTTATTCCATGTAAGCTCTCTTGTAAAAGTCGCATGCAATAAAATATGAATTTTACCATCGTTCAAACATATGAGCAAAAGAATAAATTGCGATTTCAAGATAGCAGAAACAGTTAAAGTATTCGTTCTCGCGATATAATTTACATTGCTTTAGACAATATTTGCGTGCACCGAGATATGGTCTCTACTGGACGTCGAGAGCCATTCACATTGACGAACAGTTTGAGCGAAAAAAAACACCCCATCTCCCTTTTCATATCTCGTTCAACATATTTAATTTAACAAAAAATTCATATTTGCAAACTCTACTGCTTAAACAGCTTAATCTAATACAAATAGGAAATATTATTGATTTGTATTTCAAAGACTTATTTATCAGCATGACCAAAGATATCGACTGAACGATTAAATAATACAGTAAATAAGCAAAGTAAAATACGTAGAATAATACGTACGAACTAATAAAAACTCAATAATATCGATTAAATCTTATACAGCACATGTAATGTAGTTGAATGACAATGGAAGCTTACATTAAGCTGCATTATAATACAATTATGTTCAGCATAATAAACAGTCCATTAACTATCCATTTTAAAATAACTACTTGAATTATAGGATGAATTCAATGAAATATTTTAATTATGGTGCGTGAATTATTTAATTCACGATAAAAATCAGAATTCAAACGCTTTATAAAAATGTACAATTATACAATAGAACACACGCACTAGTGTGAGATATTAGTTTATTTAATAAGGGTTTGTTATATGATATTCTTTGGCCTTTTTCATTCAATCAAGAAGTTACGAATATTACAACTAAAAACTATATGCGCTTTATGTTTTTTATACGAGTTGTAATACTTACTGTTTGTCAGGTTGTAAATCATTGACAACTGTCTGAAACAAAAAGAAAGAAACGAATTATAAGATCATAGTATTAAGAAAAAGCAGTTGTGAATAATTTATAAAATTTAGTTGCGTTTATGGATAGTTTAAATGAACTTTACAAAAATTTCAACCAAATTTTATAATTAATTTTAACTTTGTTTAATAGCAATATTGCTTAGTTTATGAAATTTGCGCAAACGTGTAACTTGCTAATTAAACGACAATACGTTTAAGGAAGATTAGTGCTAAAACTATTAAATTTGACTTAGTAATATCATAATATTGTAAACATATTTTTTCGTATTTTTCGAATACGCAATTTTGTCAAATCCGTGTATTTCTAATTCTTGGTAAAAATAGGTAGGATTAATAAAGAATAAGAAAGAAAGAGATATATCCTGAATAACAATTGAATAATCAACTATATCATTTTGCATTTATTTATTAAACAATTAAATAAGTATAAAATAAATAAATTTATAAATTTATCTATTTGAATATAGAAATTGTCGTAAACTTAGAATTTCTTTGTTTTTAATGAGTTTCTTTCTTGTAATTTTCTTGATAATTGATTTGCTCTAACAAAGTCGAGTACTGAATTTGTATACGTAATGTAGCGATATACGGGGACAACAGATTCGTAAAAATGATGATGAAACATAGAATTTTATATTTGTCTTCTCGAGAGCAGTAGTAAGCTTCTATTTGTATTTTCCTTACAGGAGATGTTTGCCTTCTTACTAATATGAGAATGTATTGGATGAAACTTGTTTTAACATTTTAAATTAAAAAACGATCTGAAAAGGGAATACATTTTAATGACGAAACTTTATAAATGTAGTTTATCAAAATCCATGTAAATACACACACACACACACACACACACACACACACACACACACACACACACATATATATATATATATATATATATATATATGTGTGTGTGTGTGTGTGTGTGTGTGTGTGTACGCGCGTGCGCAAATGTGTGTGTGTGTTTGTATGTTTATCTACTTGCATATATATATATATACTCATATTTTGTGTTTTCCTTCAAGTACAATAATTTATCAGTTTATGTAAGCAACAAAAAAGAGATAATTACTCTGTGTAATTACTAATACGTTATAAAGTTTTTACACATTTTTGTCACTTCAAACGAAGGTTCTTTTCATTTAATATACTTTTAAGAAAATATGCTAAATACGTTTCTACCATTTTCTAGAACTTTAAAGCATTACATGTTTTCGGATTTTTTTGTTCAAACATCAAATTATGTTTTTTTTTATTTTATTTATCTATTTTAAATCATTTGTATCACAAGGACGAAAGAAATCAATGTAATTTTTTAAATTTCAATTTTATCAGGTAAGATGATCAGATTTAAAACCTTGCGCGTACAATGAAATAATGTGCTTATATTGAACAGTTTTCACCATTTTAAACTAATCTATTCGACTATAAATGTTTAAAAATAGCTTTTTAATTGAAAGAACTGCAAACATTTCGGTTTAGTATTGGGAAAATATATTGCACCGTTGTTGGGTTAAGCTTGTTCCAAGAGATCGAATGTTTGGAGTTTAGTCAAGCCGATGGATATTCTTGTTAGATGTTCATTCTTATCTAGTGAGCATAAACTTGCTAAGCGACCTTTGGAAAGTCGATATTGATAAAGCTTTCGGAAAGATATTTGCTGATTACGAGAAAACATTACAATGTAAAATACTATTCTAAAAAAGCAAATGTTAATAGGAATTTTAGCAGGCCTGATATCGCGATCGAAGGCAAAATCCAACAAACAAGCTTTAATTCACATCTCTATGGCCTTGAATTGGAAATTGAACAATTCAATGACTCTAAAATATGAACATGATTTCAAATCGAATTAATCACTCTCGTCATGTGAACATAAGACTGTTAATGATCACAAAAGCCTTGTCCAAATTGTACTAAAAATGTGTTATTAATTTCGCGTTATCTTAAACAAGCGAGCATTAAACGACAAAACTTAAGTTAATGTCATATTAATCGAGTAACTATTTCTGCATCTAAACTCAAATAATACATCGCGCGATACGAGAGAATAGCACTTTTACAAATTAACGATAAAGTAATTTTAAAAGCACCATATTTCTCTAAGCGAACTTTATCATAAAACTTCAGGCGAGTCCCATTCTCCGCAAACAAAATGACCATCCAGGTAAGCGTGGTCGCGATTATTAGCGTGAATGGATTTTCGATGCCGCGGCCGACGCCTCGACTCGCAGCATCCGATAAGATTGGAAGGCCGGAATGAACGGAGAGGGCCGAGACCGGGCCCGGCCGCTACATGGGCAAACGGCATTTCGAGTCGGCGTCGATAAGGGGCCCAGAGAGCGCCTATCGCGGTAAGCCTGTGGGGACGTTGGGCAAGGCTCGGGCCCCGACACCGACGTGGGCCTAGCTTCAATGAGGCTGAGCCTCGCGTCGTAATTGAAAACCGGGGAGTTGCGCGCGATCGCGTGGTGCGAGCCGCACTATGGGTGGGCCGCGCCGGTAATTGCTGGTCTACATGAGCTCCGCGAGATCCGATTGGCTGGGCGTGGAAGATCCGTATCTGCGTGCACGGGCCAGGGGGACGAATGCGCGTGCGCGCGCGCGACTCCGCGCCGATGGCGCTCAGGGTCTGCGTTAATAATACCGCGCGCGCTCGTACGCCGTGTGCGTGTGCGGGTGTGGGGGTGGGGGTGGGGGTGAGGGGGCTCGGGCGGCTGGGAGGCCCCAAAAAATTATTTCTCCCGAACGTGCGTACACGCCGCGCTGTTTGCTTGCGTGAGAGTGCAAGTCCCCCGCGCACGAGTCCTGCGACCGATAAATCTTGCGTGGACCGTACGAGAAGGGTATTATGAGGCTGTCTGAGCCTTCATGCCGGATTCGGCCCATATAAAAGCGGAGACTCGTGTACACGTGGACTCGCGCTATTTCGTACGTTAACATGCGACGATTAAGCCGAAAGACTGTATGTAGGCCCCCGGCAGCCTACCTCCAATGCCTCTTCACAATAATACACACAATAAGTGATGTAGTGGTGCGGCTGATTTTCCCGCTCTACCTTTTCCTTAGAATACGGCGGCTCTTACCTTTGGACTTCCTGAGTTTAAGAATTGATTAGGATTGAAACGGCAGAGAGCGCGCAATATTAGTTAATGATTAATTTTGCTTACATACTGGCTTTTACTATTTAGAAGTTACCGAGTTGCCGTGAGCAGAACATTGTTTCATGAACTTTTTAATGCAATAGGCTAGTTCAATCAATGTTTTTTTTTTTTTTTTTTTTGGACCAGTTAAAATTCAAATTATTTGGCGAATTTTTAATTAAAAAATTAGTTTGTTATAGTTGTGTCGTATATTTGTATAATCCTACGAACCAATGAATAATAAAAATCCTTAAATTAAATAATATTTAATCATTTTATACAGTCATTTTATAACAAATCCATTTACTATTTGCTATTTACTATACTATCGCTGCATATTCGTGTCAGCGCTTAACTATACAACTACAACTTCAACGGTGTACGTTTTCCTTCGAGGAGCAATCTACCAGATGTACAAAAATCAGTTGCTTATAACTAAAGTTCGACACACAATCGCTTGACTCCCGTTCGTCACACAGCCTGTCCAAACAGATTAAACGTGAATGAGATTTTGAATTTGAGCAAATTTTGACGAATGATCGACATTGGACATCCGGCGCTCGAAGAAGAAAGGAAAGCCACACGAGGTAAATATGCTAGAGATTTACGAGCCATCTTCGAGAAAAATGCTGCGAAAAGGGCAAATGACCTGTGGGCAAAAGAGAAAGACGAGTTGGTGAGACGCGTGTGAACCAAACAAGTATTTATGCACGCGATTATGGAGTCTCCTAAGAACGTAACTATTGTTACTTTATTACACTTTTGTCGTGTAAAGAAATTTGCATTATTCGCCTTGTGCTTTTTGTTGCTTTTCTCGACTTTTTAAAAATATCTTCTAGTATAATAAAACCTTTTAAATTTTGTTTAAATTTCATATTTATTCTTTCGTATTCGGATTTTAGAGTATCTTAGATGAACTGAGTAGGTTCCGCTTCGAACATGCAAGTAAATAATTACTTTTAAATAAGTTTAATTTTAAAAATTAAATTATCCATCATCACGTATTGTAATTCGCTTGCATTTTTAAAATTTAAGGATAAAGACTTCATAGTTTATACAATGAAAAAATATTCTGTTTGACTTTTTCACGAAATTTCACATTATCACTAAACAATCAATCAGATTCTATAAATAAATGAAATAGTAATAATTCTTGCTTGAACGTATTTACTTTCTTTGAAATTAAAATAAAATTAAAATTAAAATTAAAATTATTAAAATTATATAGTACTCGTCGACATTCAGGATTCAAAATTTATATTCAAATTCATAAATTGTACTAATAATAAATTGTTGCGAGACTAAACGATTTACCATCTTCATTGCGATTTAACAGCGTAATAGACTGTATAGGTACACTTCGTTACGAAGATTATGGATTAAAATGTAATGTTTCGGAAAATCAGCAAAGTGTTATTCATAAATTTCTACATATACACATACATCAGTCAACGTGAACGGTATGATTTTTGAGATCCAAATAAATCCATAAATATATTGATAATTTTTTGTATGCAAATAATTAATAAAATATTTAAAGATTCAAATATACTGTAGCGGAAGGGTTATTATTTAATATAATTGGGAATGCTTAAATATTTAATTGAAAGATCACTGTTAACTATTTAAAGTAATACAAATTTTACTTTTGATTGCATATTTGTTTTTTAATATTTTACGCGTTATGGTGTTTGTTTTCATTAGTGTTTAATTAAACTAATGACCGTAGAAATATTTCGGAAAAGATCCTGATAATGCCTTCTTGACAAACATTGAAATATTTAAACATTTATATACCTTTCTTTAGTAAAAACTACTAAAAACTTTCTATTT